TCTCAGCCTGTTTATCATGTATCCTGTTTGTCCTCTCTCTCTCCCCCTCCCTCCCTCCTTCCCTCATCTTCCTCCTCCTCCTCTCTATAATATATCACCTATCATATATGATTTTTCCCAATTAAGAATGAGCCATGCATGTTCTGTAGAGAGGGCACCTCTATTCGATCTTGGATTGAAATTAGGAGTTTTGTAAATGCAGAGTTTAAGTTTTGAAATTGTAGGTAGACTTCTGTCCCTAAGCATGGCCCTTGTCTGGCCTAGTCACCTCAGATTAATCTTACAAATGTCACAATGGTTTTATTCTTATTGGTTAGGCGATAGGAAGGGACACTGTGCATTCCTTGCAATAGTTTAGGTGTACCTGTGGGCAGCCATTCTACATGGCACCTGGTTAGTGAAATAAGAATCTGCAAAGATATTTATTACCTGTAATTTGAAATGAGAAGTTGCAAAAAACGGAGCAGGCCAAAAATATAGGATAGCATAAACTGATTTTCAGTGGCAATGGATCATTATTGGTTAAACATTTCTAGCCTACGTATTGGTATAATTTATAGCTATATAATTCCATGTAGCAGAAATTCTGCTTTTCTGTGATTATATGTTCAATTCGCCATGTGTATTATGGGGGGTGTTATGCCTTTCATGAGAATAAATAACTGCATAGGTGGACTTTTTTCATGGTAAAACATTCCACTTTTTGTTTTGAATCACTGTGTGAAATTCACCTATGCGGTTTTGCATTTAGCAATACAATCTTATGTTAATACACGGTTGTACTTATTCTTTCATACCTCTATATTTGAGAAACAATATAAATATGAAATATGCACATCAAACATTTATAAACACAGCAAACACGCCTCTTAATGGGTGCTTCTGTAGGCTGAATAGCAATCCATGAAAGATTTATGGGAACCAATGAGGTTATAGAGGTAAAATTGCGATGAGATTTTTTTTCATTTCTCTCTTTGTAATTGGTAATTGACATGGTGGCTCAGTGGCTAAGACGCTGAGCTTGTCAATCAGAAAGGTTGGCAGTTCGGCGGTTCGAATCCCTAGCGCCACATAGCATAGTGAGTGCCTATTATTTGTCCCAGCTTCTGCCAGCCTAGAAGTTTGAAAGCACGTAATACATGCAAGTAGAAAAATAGGGACCACTTTGGTGGGAAAGTAACAGCGTTTGGTAACTAAACCTTTGGCGTTTAGTCATGCTGGCCACATGACCATGGAGATGTCTTCGGACAGTGCTGGCTCTTCGGCTTTGAAATGGAGATGAGCACCATTAGAGCCAGAAATGATTAGCATGTATGTGTGAGGGGAACCTTTACCTTTAATTGCCAATAATCAGAATGTCTGTTTTGTAAATACTTGGAATGTCTACACCTATAAATGGAGATTCTTGGCTTTTAAAATCTACTTTAGCTGTTTTTTTTTAAAAAAAATGATGGAGATGCTTTTAAGAGAGATCGGGAGAAGCGTGAATGAATTCTTAATGTGGAAGCTTAATGACCACCTGCTTCACTTAACAACTGCAGCGACTCACTTAATGACTGTGGGGAAAAAGGTTGTAAAATGGGGCAAAACTCACTTAACGACTGCCTCATTGAGCAATGGAACTGTTGGGTGCCACTGTAGTTTTAAGTTGACTACCTGCAAATAAATAACAAAATTGTCTGCCCCCTACATTTAAATTCTCCTAAGCCTGCCATTTTAGTATTCTTTCTCTCTCTCCCTCCCTCTTTCTCTCTCTCTCTGTGTCTCTCCCTCTTTCTCTCTCTCTCTCTTCCTTTTTTTCTCTTTCTCTCTCCCTCTTTCTCTCTCCCTCCCTCCTTTACTCTTTCTCTCCCTCTTTCTCTCTCTCTCTCCCCTCTCTCCTTTTCTTAATGCATTGTTCTTCCCTTTCATTGGACAGAGCTTTAGCCCAGTTGGAAATCTGGCAAAGAAAACTGCAGCTTTCTCCCACAACGATGAAGACAATGCTTCTATTACCATGGAAACTCTTCAGATAAAATGTTGGCACATCCTATTAATTGATCAATTAATCCCACCATCTTTCTTTTCCTTCCGTCTTTCTCTAGAAAGGAATGGAGGGAAGTGCCGCTCCTTTGTGGGTGAGGGGAACGAAAAGCTGTAGTGATTGACTTGCGTTTTGTTTCAGGGCTAATGAATGGAAGATGGCAAGGTCTTTGCTTGGAGATAAAGGCCTGCATGTTTCAAAGGAGAGAGAGAGAGGCAGCTTTTGGGAGCTCTGCTTCTTCCTATGCATGCCAGAGAAATTGTGTTGAAAGCCTCATTTAAGAAGGGGAGGGGGACTTGAAGGTGCCACCATCTGAAGAGATTTGGGATTTTGTGATTTCATAAAGGAGCTGACCAGAAAGGAAAGCAGCTTTTTAACAGAAAGAGCGGGGTGGTTCAGTGGAGATAAAATGTGTTCCTTGGTATATTTTTAATCGCTAGAACATCCAGGTTTGCAAAGTTATGGAGTTATACTGTTGCACTGCAGTAAAATGCATGCTTTCTATCCGGAATGACATTTCCCAAATAACATTTCCATCATCCTAAAGTCTAACCGATTTAGATTGGAAATGCTGGGAATCTACTGCTCTTCCATTGTGTCCTTTTCTAATGTTCTGCCTCCAGATGTGGATTATCACTCTAATAATTGTCACTAGTCATGGATAATTTTCCTGTTGAAGGGGAATCATGGGAATTGCTTGCTGGATATTAGAGCAGAAAGAAGAAAGCTTCAGTAAACAATATTAAAGTGGGTAGACCAAGGCAATGATTCAACTCAAGGCTGTTGCTTTTCTCACTACTCTTTGAACAGGAGATGGCATGGAGTCCAGATGGGAGCATTGCCCAGTACTGGCTCAGCATCTTTTAGTTCTTAACCTACACAGCAAAGGTCTCCAAACTTAGCAACTTTAAGGCTTGCAGACTTCAACTCCCAGAATTCCTCAGTCAGCTATGCTGGGAATACGCATGTGGTAAAGTTGCCAAGTTTGGAGACACCTGCTATATAGTATAATGAGGGTGAAGTGTCAAAGTGAGAATGGGTAAAGAGTAACAATGTATAGAATATTTGTAGCTCAGGGATGAACTATGGTGTCCTTGGTGCTCTCTGAGCTTGGTGCACTGCTTTACACTGAAAATGTTAGCTAGTTGGGTAATGTTTATATATAAAGCATCACACAGAGAAATAAAGAGTACAATCACCATGTGCTTTACTGCTCAACTATTTACCTGTAACAGGAGATGGGAACAAGAGAGCATAGAGTATATACCATAGATCCAAACCAGAGGTGGTATTCAGCAGGTTCTGACCAGTTCTGGACAACTGGTAGCAGAAATTTTGAGTAATTCGGAGAACCGGCAAATACCACCTCTGACTGGAGATTTTACGGTATCCTTCCCTTGCCACATCCACCAAGCCAACCATAGTAAAAAAAAATTGATCTAAACTTGTAAATACTGCCATCTAATGGCTGAATACTCCCATAGTTGTTCACATAGAAATACATTCCAGCAATGAATTCCAACAGAAACATCTGCAAGGACACAGCCAAGCTCAGATGAACACCAAAAGACCCCACACTAACAAGGGAATATAGAAAGCAAGAGAGACTTAAGGAGCGTCCGATTCTGGATGAAATAATAGTATACTTTGTGCTGCTAAATAAATACACCAACGCTCTGGTGCTCGACAGTACCATTACTTAAAATACAAATGGATGACTTTACCAATTGTATAACCTCTGTGCATCTCCATTTCAAACAATAAGTTGCAGAGGTGCAGAAATAGCAACTTTTTTTCAGAGAAGAAAAATAGTGGTAGCCTGAAAATATTATGACTATCAGCTGATGTTTCCTAGGGAGAGCTGATTATTTTCTCCTCCTGGGAAGAAGGAGTATGACTCCATAGGTCTTCCTCCCGAGGTCTCAGGTCCAGCTAAGTGGTTAGTGGTTCAACTGTCTTGGAACTTCCACTCCTTGTACCTAACTTACGGGTATCCCTCAACTCCCAAACCCATGAAACAGCATCCTTAACCACAGTGGTAGGACAGTGATTTTAGCAATACAGGCGGGATCCTTGGAAATGAAAGCCTCCTCATGTGTTGGAAATTTCTCCTCGGTTGGGCCTTACTCCAAAAGAGCTAATGAACATAAAGATTAGTTTGGATGGAGTCTTCCTGCATGAAAATCTTGAGCGAAAGAAATGCTGGCCTTGTACTTTTGAAACCTAGCCAATTATGCTTTAGGATGCTGTTCAAATGGATCAGTGTTGCCTTTGTTATATATGACCCCTAAACTGGATCCAGAAGATCTCTCTTGATTTCCCTCCGCTTTTAAGTGTCTCTTGTATTCCTGACTAGGTTAATTGCTCATGCTCTCATTGAACAAAACAGTAACCTACCAACCTGGGTCACTGAGCTTTAGGACCAATTTAGTATCTTGTTACAAAACCAAATTAAGAATGCTATCGAGGATACAGCTTAAGCTGATCTGCGAGAAGTTCAGCGAAGGTGAAATTGTTCCCCTCCATAATTCTAAAAGTCCTTGACTTCTGCTGCATCAATCTCACTTGGCTTTGTTGACTTGGCTGATTTTCAGGACTTCCCCCCCAAAAAGTTTATACCTGTGTAAATCATTTTTTTGTTGTTGTTTAAATTTTTCATGTGGTAGAATTGATTGCAACGTTGCTGTGCTGCTTAAATTTAATTTCTCTGGCTTAAGTTTGTTTTCACACAGCAATAAAATCCTCCCCTTGTTCCCTGGCAGATTCAGACAATCCCCGGGGAAAATCAATCCCCACTTTGCATAGGCAAAGTCGAATCCTGTAATTTTGACATTACCTTCAAATTCTGGAATTCTTTCTCTTCTTCCTTGAGGACCTCCAGTTGTTTAAGGACTGAATCTTGCTGGAACTCACTTCTGTCCATCTATAGTTCAAGGGAAGAAGATGGTCAGTTGAAAAAGTCAAGCGCTAGAAATCACAATTTGAAGCTTAGTAAATTGGGTGCGAGCACCAGAATGAACCAAAGTCCCTGTGTTTCTTTCAGCCTATTACCAACAATGATAGCATATACATTACGTACCCCAAAGGTGCTTTGTCAGGAGGCAACTGGGCTTTTTTGTTTATTCCTTTGAAGATGTTTCACTTCTCATCCACAAAGCTTCTTCAGCTCTGACTGGATGGTGGGGAATGGAAGGATTTGCATCCTGGTGATTTGCATCCTTTCAGAGGGTCATTGAGGCCACTTGGAAGTTTATCTGTGTCCTCAGGGTCACAGTAGTGCTCCTGGTTCCTATAATCTGCAATTTTTCCTCTGGAAATCCGCTCCTACTCCCACACCATTCAAAGGGTGTTCATCCCAAATTGTGTAGCTAAAAGTCTGTGGAGATTCTCAGTCATCCAGGCACCTTTAGGACAACCATGAACTGGATGACTGAGAATCTCTGCAGGCTTTTATACATTGTGGACTATCACTATCATCAAAGTCTGATCTCGCCATGGGACCTCCACCTGTGGACTTCTTTCTATCTTCTCCATTGAAATGTCTAGGGAGTTTCTTATCATCCAGGTCCTGGTTGTCCCAAAGGTGCTTTTCCAAAAGGCAACCGGTCTTTTCTTTGTTTTTCCTCGAAGACGTTTCACTTCCAATCCAAAAAGCTTCTTCGGTTCTGACCAATCCTTCCATTCTCCACCATTGAGTCAGAACCAGGGGTAGGATTCAGCCGGTTCGGACTGGTTCGAGCGAACTGGATGTGAAGTTTACATCTGGTTCCCTGAACCGGTAGTTGAACCGACCGACTGGCCACACCCACCCCTCCCCTCCCAGGAGTCTCCACATGACCCATTTTGTACGCAGGTAAGTGTGGGGTCCGCGCAGAGGTTCTGGGAGGGTGAAAAATGGGCCTTCCGGAAGTCCGGAAACGGGCCTGTTTCCAGCTTCCGGAGGCTGCTGGACCCTGGGGGAGACCGTTTTTGCCCTCCCAGAGGCCCGAGGGAAGCCTCCGGACCCTGGGGAAGGTGAAAAACAGCCCTCCCGGAAGTTCTGGTAGGTCACGCCCCACCATGGCCACGCCCACCCAGCAACCGGGCAGTGAACCGGTGGTTGGGATTTTTGAATCCCACCCCTGGTCACGACTGAATAATTTCTTCAAAGAAAAGTCCAGTTGCCTTTTGAAAAACGACAACAGCTTCGGGTCTTCCATTTGAAGATTTATGTGCAGAGGATACTGAGACAATGAGATCACCAAGAGCTCTTTGCAATCATCACCCTATTATATTTGACATTGAATAGTACTGGATATGCCTCAAGCAGCTGAAACTAGCGTCTTGCTTCTCTAATGCACATTGCCCTCTTCAAGTACTTGAGTGTCCTGAGGTAGACCTACTGTCAGGGTTTAAAAATTTAATCTTGCCTAGGAAGGATGGTGTGGCTCTGGAGGGCGGGGGCTGCAAGAAGTTATTAAATGCATAAGCCATCTGCTCCCATCACAACTCTAGGCGGTGCACTGCATAAAACAAGTCAAACAATGCCCACAAATAATACATTTGCAAAAAGGAAATATCCAGGAAGGGGAGAAACACACATTTTAACACACCAGGGGCCAGATTTAACACACAAAAGGTGCCAGGTTTTGACCTTCCTCACCAGCATTGGTCAACTGTGAACAGGATCCATACCCAACATGGTGTCCTCCAGGATTCATTGTTTAAGTGGGGCCTCGGTGTGACTGGGGTGCTCCTCGACAAAATATCCATCACCTTGTGTCCGAATGTCCATCAGGAGCTTTATACCAGCCCAATGTCTGATTTTTTTTCAACATAGCTCAAGCACCCTGTCCTTGAATGGCTGGGTGGACCGGGCATTAATATTTGAACCACTATAAGTATTTGCCGTATGCTAAATAAATTTAACACACCAACCACCCTACAAAGATAGCAACACCTGCGGGAAAACTCTTAGTTTTAACATTTTTTTTAAAGGGGGAGGGGGTAGAGGGCCTATGAATCTCTAGGGCCATGCTATTCCAAGTGGTCTAGATGCTCACTGGAAGAAGAGGAGTCCAAAGTGTTTTGCATTCAACTATTAGGAAAATCTATCCTTCTCTTGGCTTGTTTTAAAGGCTGCTTTCACTTTAATTCAATAGATGGATCTGTAAGCAACAGCCTATTCTCCCAGCCTCATTAGTTTTTCTGCAAAGGATGCTTCTGATTGGGGGCAAAGTCTATGTTAATTAGAATATGGCTTTAATTACCCTTCTTTCAGGAAGGTGGGCCTGGATGAGACTTGAATACTTATTGGGCAATTTCTCGGTTGCCTTTTATCTTCCCTAGATATCGATCACCTCCGTGTAGCCTTCGCATTTCCTCTTTTTCCATTGCAAGACTGAAGCATCTAATGGAATTACTGTTTCGGAATGCCCCAGCTAATCGAAAATCTAAATCTATAATACAGTACTGATTGTTGCTTGACTTCTAACGTGTCTTTCTTTTAAAGCCTTAGCAAATGAGGGTGGAAATGCTTCCCCTGCAGCAGTTTCTGTAGATACGCTGGAAAGCTTTTGCTGCTGCTATTTGATGTCATAAATTAAGGTGTTTCAGTTTTTTCTGGCTGGGAAAGAAACTGTTGATGGAGCAGAGCAAATACCGGTATCATAAAGTATTAAATCCAGGCCAGGTAGGGGTGGAAAAAAAATTGTATGACACTGTTTTTTCAGGGGGTGAGTGTCAGCTTATGCAATCTCAATAGTTCTAATATATGATTATCATTTTAGTAATATTAATTTTAGAACGTTGCAAATTCTTCAGATTAAATTTTTAAAAAATCAAAATAATTTTAGAACCGCTTGAAGATACACAAATTGTGCCTCATTAAAGTAGCTGCTTTTTTTCAGTTTTTTCTCACACCGTAAGTTGTGATGTGCACTTGAGCTGCTTCAAGCAAAATACTTGTATCCATAAATGTATTTAATCAGCCAACAGGAGCTTTTGAAGCAACTACACAAGTCTGGGCCAAACAGAACTGCTTTAAAAAAAATATTTTTTAAAGTGCTTTTATATTTGTTTGTGAGCCACGATGGCGCAGTGGTTAGACTGCAGTATTGCAGGCTACTTCTGCTGCCTGCCAGCTGCCTCCAATCTGACAGTTCAAATCTCACCAGGCTCAAAGTTGACTCATCCTTCCATCCTTCCGAGGTGGGTAAAATGAGGACCCAGATTGTTCGGGGCAAGAGGCTGACTCTGTAAACCGCTTAGAGAAGGTTGTAAAAGCACTGTGAAGCGGTATATAAGCCTATGTGCTATTGCTATATATACTTGTGGCTATTTTGAAAAATCTCTCTTGAAGAATTTGCATTACTTTTACTATTTACTATTACTTTTGTAGTTTTACTGATAGGGAGAAGTTTGCAAAAAATGGTGGGATTATTTAACTGCAGTTAAATAAACAGCTTTATCCATGGTAATTTTTTTCCTGATACTTTCTGCTTTACAGTATATATTGATACAGTTCTGAGATGCAATGAATGTCTTTCATCTGCTGATGGCACTGTTGCCCTCTGAATTTAGTCTGTTTTCTCTCTCTTGAGCCTTTGTAGCTGGAGGATTGATAGATCCAGAAAAGCACAGTTGTTCACAAAGCAGAAACCCCATGAGTTAATTTATAATTCTAGAATTAAGCCATTCATTAGTGTGACCTTTAATAAAGTTTACACTGAGGCTTAGTTCAATACAATCTCACTTCATCAACGAACAGTGGGAAATTCATTTATTTTTTTCCTTCTCTCTGTAACATCTTCCATCTTCATCGACACCCCAGTTCTCCCCTTAAACTCCTGCCGTAAATAGATGGCGTAGGAAGGTTGATTTCTCTCCATGTTTGCTTGTTTTTAAAAAACCTGCGGGGTATACTGCAGGAAGGAAGACTGTCTTCACTTACCTGCCTGGGGTTCCTAATGATACCGGCAAGCTTTGAATTGCATTGCAATTGAAAGGGGGAAAACAAGGTAGGATTCCACAGAGTTTCTACAAAACAGTGTTTCTCAACTTTGGCACCTTTAGGATGGGTGGACTTCAACTCCCAGAATTCCCCAGCCAGCCATTAGCAGCGTTGGAAGGAACCTTGTAAGTAATTTAGTCCTCTCTGCCCAAGCAGGAGGCAAATGGCCGTCCAATCTCTTCTTGAAAACCTCCAGGGATGAAGCTCCCACAGCTTCCGAAGGCAACTTCTGTTCCAGGGGTTGATTGTTGTACACTGTCAGAAAATTTCTCCATGTTTTCAGGCTGAATCTCTCCTTGTTCAGTTTCCATCCATTCTTCCTTGTCTGGACATTGGGTGCCTTGGACAATAGTCTGACCCCTCCCTCTCTGTGGCAGCCCTTCAAATATTGGAAGACTGCTATCATTCCCCCCCGCCCCCCGGTTCTTCTCTTCACTAGACTAGCCATCAGTGGTGGGATTCAAATGTTTTTACTACCGGTTCTTTAGGCGTGGCTTGGTGGGTGTGGCAGGGTAAGGATACTGTAAAATCTCCAGTCAGAGGCGGCATTTGCCAGTTCTCCAAACTACTCAAAATTTCCACTACCGGTTCTCCAGAACTGGTCAGAACCTGCCGAATACCACCCTCTGCTAGCCATGCCCAGTTCCTGCAACCGTTCATCATATGTTTTAGTTTCCACTCCCCTAATCATCCTGGTTGCTCTTCTCTGCACTTTTTCTAGAGTCTCAACATCTTTTTTATAGACCAAAACTGGATGCAGTACTCTAGGTGAGGTCTTACTAAGGCTTTATAGAGTGGTATTAGTACCTCTCTTGATTGTATCTCTCTGTTAATGTAACTTAGGATTGCATTGCCTTTTTTGGCTGCTGCTGCATACTGCTGGGTCATACTTAACTGGTTGTCCATGCTGGCTGGGGAATTCTGGGAGTTGT